ACCATTTCATTTTACATTTGTACATAGGCCGGGTTCTAAACATGGAAATGCTGACAGTTTGTCGCGAGAAAATTTGTTTTCTGTGGTCGCTCACCCCACTAGGTCTGAGCTGGGGGGGAGGATATGTAACAGAGTGTTGAGGATGGTGGTCAGGGGTGTATATCTGGCACCCAGACTTTTGCACAGCCACTATCCTGACATGTGGGTAAGCACATGCAGCCCCAGGGAAAGTTAAGTTTAAATGTAGGTTTTTTTCCTCTGTTGTTATTTGGGTCCCTGGGGTGGAGTATTCGGAAGAGCAGGGTGGGCCGATTCTCCACCCACTGTCAGAGTGGTTGTGCATGAGTCCAGCCCAGGTTTTCCATAGAGATCTGGCTCACTGCCTAACGAGGTCATTAGCCTCACCTGTAGGGGCTGTGAGCAGCTATATAACTGCAATTAAAGCAGGGTGAAGTGAGGGAAGTGTTTTGAGGAGAAAGAAGGTTTGCTGTATATTGTATCCTGTTACTTCATAACAACAGAAAATAAACAGGCCAGAGGCCTTTTTGAAACTGGACTTTGTCTTCACCTGGTTTTCTTACCCTAGAAGGCTGTGCGGTTGCCAAAAGATCCAAACACACACAGGAAAGTAAGTTTGTCACAATATATTTATAGTAAAGTACATATATATAGTTATGGTGGATAGAAAGTTCATCCTCTTTCAATCATATGATTTTTATATATCAGGACATAATAACAATCAGCTGTTCCTCAGCAAGTCTTAACATTTGATAAATACAACCTCAGATGAGCAACAACACACATTACACAATATTATTATTTATTTAACAAAATTAAAGCCAAAATAAAAAAGCCATGTATGAAAAACTACACCTGCTGGTTCCATAGGAATAAAGAAGCTAAGTAGCAGGCAGGTGCTGCTAATCAAATGCCCTTGATTAATTGATCATCAGCAAGTGTGTCCAGCTCTGTAAAAGCAAATGTCTAGCAGTTTTCTGCTCTGGAGAATTCAGGTGTGTGTTAACATATCCCCAAGGAGGAAGTACATCAACAATGGTCTTCGAGAAGCAACTGTTGCTCCCCATGAAACTGGCACGGGTTATAAAGCCATTTCCTTAGAATTTAAAGTCCATCATTCTACAGTAAGAAAGGTCATTAAAAAGTTGAAAACATCTTCCTGTCCGCTCGCACCTCCCATGCCTCACCCTTCTGTCAGTCCCTACATTGGCTTCCTATAAAATATAGAGCTCATTTTAAAATTCTGGTTCTTGCTTTCAAATCTCTACATAATGCTGCTCCCACCTATCTATCCTCCCTTATACACAAGTATGTCCCGTCTAGGCCCTTACGATCTGCTGAAGACTTACGTCTATCTTCTGTCCGTACTCCCACCTCTGATGCTTGCCTTCAAGATTTCTTGAGGGCTGCACCGTTCCTGTGGAACTCGCTTCCCTCCTCTGTTAGATGCTCACCCAGTCTCCATTCCTTCAAAAACCCACTTCTTCATAAAAGCGTATCAATTAAACTGTTAATAGCTCCTGACTTATTCCTCTTCTGCAACTGTCACTAGTCTAATACTATCCTTACCTTTTTGTTTCATTTTACCATCTCTCTAGCAAGTAAGCTCATTGAGCAGGGCCCTCAACCCCTCTGTTCCTGTGTGTCCAACTTGTCTGGTTATAACAACATATCTGTTTGTCCACCCATTGTAAAGCGCTGCAGAATTTGATGGCGCTAATAATAAGACAGTTGCCAGTCTTCCCAGTAGTGGAGGTCCCAGTAAATTCACTCCAAGGTCAGACCATGCAATTATTCCAGAAATTGAAAAAAACTCAAGTGTTACAGCTTAGACTCTACAGGCCTCGGTTAGCATGTTAAAGAACATGTCAGTGCAATTATAAAAAGGCTGAACAAGTATGGTTTGTTTGAAAGGGTTGCCAGAAGAAAGCCACTTCTCTCTATAAAGAGCTTGGCAGCATGGCTTAGGTTTGCAAAGTTGCATCTGAACAAACCACAAGACTTGTGGAACAATGTCCTTTGGACAGACAAGACCAAAGTGAGATGTTATAATGGCTATAGTGCACAGCGCCACGTTTAGCATAAAATAAACACGGTATATTAGCACACCTCATACAAACTGTCAAGCACAGTGATGCTATGGGTTTCCCACAGAACCTGGGAACCTTGCAGTCATTGAGTCGACCATGGATTCCCCTATATACCAAAAACATTCTAGAGTCAATTGTGAGGTCATCTGTCTGATAGCTAAAACTTGGGCGAAATTTGGTCATGTGAAAGGACAATCATCCCAAGCACTCCAGCAAATCTACAACAGAATTGCTGAAAAAGAAAAGGATCTAGGTGTTGCAATTGCCCAGTCAAAGTCCAGACCTCAACACAATTGAAATGTTGTGGCAGTACCTTAAGTACAAACTGTAGCAGACTCCATTTCCTTATGTTAAGTTGCCTGTACCCCCTTGTTCGTTTCCCGAATGACTGGTGTGTGGTCCCCTTGTTATGTCCCAGTGAACACTGACCTCCCATGGCTGTTAACCACAAATTAACAACTTGACACCTTAGCACCTTTTGTCTCCCAAATGCAGGCAGCGGTACCTGGTCATCGAATGGCTGGAACTATTTTTGGCCTTGTGTCTCCACGAATCCGAGCAAAGATGGTACCACTGCCCATCCTACTTCCCAACCAAATAGACAAACAATGTTTGGGAGATATGATCTACCGAACAGGGGAAACTGCCATTTGCATGATAGTGAATCTCTTCAGATAGCTTTAGGGTCAAGCTTTTTGAAAAATAAATTGCTCACCTTCTTGTTGTTGTTTGCTGCCATTAAGTCTAATTGAGGAAGACCCAATTTTTTGACTATCGCTTGATAAATCTTGATGGATAAACTCCATTCTCCTGGATCTAGTTCCACCCTGCTGATGAAATATGCAACAGGATTCTCTACTCCTGGAAGATGAATGGCTGTTAAACCTGCTAGGTTTAGCTGTGCCCAGAACATCATTGGTCTCATTAGTTTCAACATAATTCATCATTCTTCAGCTTCAAGTTCCTCCTTGATTGTTGATATAAGCTACAAACGTTGCATTGTCGGTTCAGATTGATGTAGCTTTGTTTTCTGCTAGTTCCAAAATGTTGTCTAGGTAATGGAATATACCAATACCCTTCTTTTTGAGTTCTTCTATTAGTATTACAAGAACTTTGGAGAATGTCCGAGGTGCTGTACTCAGGCCAAATGGAAGGGCCCGAAATTGAAAATGGCCTTTCTCCACTGCAAATCAGTTATTTTTGATGCTGTGGAGCAATGGGGAATATGGAAGTAGGCATCTGACAAGTCTTTTGATATCACACATAGGCCCGGCAATACTGCCTTTATGATTGACTGTAAGGATTACATCTTGAACCTGTGTTCGTTCAGGAATTTGTTTAACTTGTGCAGATCTAGAATAGGTCTCCATCCTCCTGAGGCTTTCTTGGTCAGAAGAATGTGGGAGTAGAATCTGTGAGTCTGCTCTGTTAGAGGCACTTGCATGATTACTTCTTCTTGCAGGGATGAAATTAGTGATTGTAGTGCATTTTGTTTTTCTCTTTCTCCAGACCATCTTGATATCTGGAATGAGCATCATGGAGGGGCTCTGTATTTTGTGGATTGTTCCCACATCTTTCAGAATAGTAATAGACATACTTCTACCCCTCCAGACTGGGACTGCAACCCGTCATAAAGATCTGGAGTTCTTGGGGAAAGATGATCCTCTGGACTTCACACCTCTAACTGAGGAATGTCCACCTCTTCATGGCTGAGGTCAACTGTACTCTTTTCCTGGTCTGTATGACATGCTGTCTCGAAAGGAGGGATAATCAGAAGATATTTTGGACCAAAAAGATCCAGTGGGTCTGTGGTCTTGGGGAAGAAATGCTCTTTTCCCTTCAGCTGCTCTCTTAATGCAGTCATCCAGATTCTTGCCGAACAGCATTTCTCCATGAAAGGGGAGAGCTCACAAACTGTGTTTTGAAGAGCTTTTCTAGTCGAAATGGAGAGGGCCATATTCCTTGATAGGGCTTTAACCATGTCCATTGAGGATTCTGAGGTAAAGGGGGCTGCTAACTTTATGTATTTCAAACTCTCTAGTAGAGAACATCTGCTCCTGCCTTCTTTAATATCGTCCTCCAAATTATTAACCCAAATCTTTAATGCTCTGGATACTGACATAAAAGCCACTGCAGGATGAAAGCCAGTGCCCACTGCCACATAGGCTTTAGAAAGGTTCAGAGACATTTTTCTATCCATGGGAAATCTAAATGAGTCTGCGTTATCAACTGGTAGGGTAGTGCTTTTGGCAAGTCTAACCACTGCCCCATCTACCTTTTGAGTGAAAACCCAGTTGCTAAAGTAAATTATCCCAAATGGATATAAGCGTAACATTCTTCCTTGTGCTGACAGCTTTTAATCTGTATTGGACCATTTATCCACAATTAAATTCTTAGTGGTATCATGCACAGGAAAGGTTATTCTTTTTCTCCTCAGATCTGAGAAGTAATGGCTAGAAGTTGAGGGTTCTTCTTTACAAGTTTCCTTTAAGTTTAGGGACTTGCAGACTCTGGATATCAGGTGGTCCACAAAAACTGGTTCAAGGAAATATAGAGCAGAATGAAATTCTTCCTTTAGAAGAAGAACTATTGTCTCTGTATGTGTCGGGTTCACAGTTTAGTGGACAGAACCCAAGATGCAGATAAGTGCTGAAGGCAATGGACCAAGTTAACAGTACAAAAGGATCAGAAAAAGAGTGTAGTCAGGGAAGCCAAAGGTCAGGACAGGCCGCACAGGTTCAGAAGTGATGATACAGGCAAGGGTCAAAATCAGAATACAACAGGATAATCACTGAAGGTCTTTCCCCATTAAGGAGCACAGTACAACTGAGCAAAGAGTGAAGGGTATGTGCGGCTTAAATAGGAAAAGTGGCTGGTCTCCACCTCCTGTACCTTTGGAAAGGCTCTGTGTCAGCACGCATCCTTTGATTCTTCTGAAGTTTTACCTCCTGTGTGGTCGCATATTGAAGCAGCGGCATTCTCAGGAACAAGATCCTATCTTGCTGTGTTCGGTAACTGGCATCCGTAGGAATGGAGTTCGGTCCTCTGTATTGCTGTGTTCGATAAGTGGTATTCTCAAGAACAGATTTCTGTTCTTGCTGTGTTTGGGAGCAGGAGTCCGTACGAACGGAGTTCTGCCTGCAGTATTGGTGAGTGGAATTCGCACAAATAGAGGTGGCGGTCGTATGAGGGGTCGGTGTGGGTGGTTGAGCCAACAGCACTGCATGTGGGGTCGCGCTCTGATACGGCATCCTCGTGGAGTGCGAGGTATGTAAGTGTGGCAGCAAGGTTGCTGATTCATCTTGTGAATTTTCCAGTGGGTCAGGATACCTTGGTCTTTTTCTTGTTTTACCAGCTTCTTTCAGGCGTTCGGATACTGCCTGTTTGATGTAATGCATTAGGTCTAGTGCCAGGTTAGAGGTTCCAGCTGCTGCCGATATGCAGTCTGCGCAGAGGCGTTTGCCTTCCAGAGCTCTTTTGTCACAGGCATCACATCTGTTCTTTTTGGGTTACTTTCCTTTTGATGACCCAGATTCTTTATTTCCCATAGAACTATCATGATAGGGAATCCATTAGTTGGCTGCACTCTCTTGTTTGTAATATAGCGTAAAACCGAACCTATAAAAATATACAATGGCTTACCTATGACTCTTGGAATGTGACCTAACATTATGAGTAGAGGAATCGGAACCTGAGAAGGAACTTCCTTTTTCCATAAATAACTATTTGAAATTGCTACGGAATATGATATTGAAATTAGTATAAAAAAATAATTTTACATTTCAAGTACAGAAAATTGGGAATGTGTCTTTAAAAAGTCAAACACATATCTGATAAAATGTAATGTAAAGTATCATCAAGTGGAATCAAAACAGAAAAAACATTGTCTGGAGGATTTCCTGTAGACCTGAAGAGAAGAATCAGGTAAGAAGAGCTGGATTTTTGTGCTTTAGAAAGGGCGCCTGACGTCATTAATGAGGTCACCTACTTTGGGCCAAAATACTCATTGTGCATGCGTGAAAAAGACACAACACGAATGGCTGGTTCGCATAAGCACACTTCCCGGGATGGACCCTGACCAAGATGGCGGCTCCCAAATGCCGGGAGCTGCAATAAGGTAAATTATAGCCCCCAGATGCAGCAAAATTTCCGCCATCAAGGTAGAAATGCCGTGGGACCACCAGGAAAACAGAATGGGGGACCACCAGGGAAACTCCTGTATTTATACTTACCCAAAATATTTTATCAATCACTTATCTTTTTGCAGATCCTCATTTTAGAGTGAAAGCCAAAAAAATTAATTATTCTCTGTAATGACTAACGTGTACTATAGGGATAGGACAGGAGCAAAAAGACTTAGGAAGGAGGGGGTACTTATACCCTTCTTTAAATTAGTTCCTTTCTAACTAGGGATAAGAGCTACCCATTGTTGTGCTGCCATGGATATGGCCAGGAAATATATATATACACACATACAAATACAAGGACCGAGCATTTCACTTCTCAATAGCAGTATTGCTACAGTGAAGTAACTTCAGGCTGTTTTATATTTCCCAATGGAAGACACACTCAGATAATTTGATGACCATTAATCTGCAGAAAGTTATTATATTAAATAGCAACCTACTGAATAGGCAACATCATGCATTGCAATGCTAGTTGTGATTTGTTATATTTATATTATAAATATCTCTATTAAATAAAAAGTGACACCTTTTTTTATAACATTTTTCTTTCTTTTTGCAATCTTGTAAATTAATGAAAATGGGAACAGCAGACAAGAAGGGTTTACTTGTGCAGTAAACTGCCACATGTTGTACTGCAATTTGCAAAGCCCAAGCAGTAGCACTGAAGCACACTGAAAATCCAATACACTGTCTCCCACAAGAAATATATATATATATAAAAAAAAAAATCATAAATCAGCAAAATAATTCTAAATCTGTGAATAAACGTAGATGTAAGTGGCACTGGCAGTAGCTAGGCAGAGCAGTAATCTAACCACTTCACCAGTCTAACACTAACATCAATGACACAGGCTCTCACAACAACGCAGACACAGCAATGATAAAATACTTAATTACTGCTGGTCTGTCTCCCTCAACAGCTAAAGTCAAGGTGTCTAGAAGTATTCTGCGTTAAAAAATATATTATTGTATTGTTCCTCTTTGTTTTCATCTACTTATGTTAGAGGTCCGTGGGCGGCTGTGAGCGGAGGCTGCACGCCACTTGCAGCACTCACCCTCAGTCCGTCGCCGCCCGCAGTCTCCCCTCCTCCTACCTGTTGGTGAGCGGCGTCTCCTCTCCGCTGCGCGCCAATCGCGTCTTCCACGCCTCCCAGCGGCAGCTACCCGGCATTCAAGCAACAGTACCACAATCACAGTGGGAGGCGTAGATATCTCCCACGTGTGATTGTTAATTCTGATTGGAAGTTATCCAATCAGAATTAAGCAAAGGATATTTATACTTACCTTTCCTGTCTCTCAGTGCCCTGTTGTTGTCTTGTGTTACCTGTATTGCAGTTTCTCTCTGGTTACTGATTATTTGGCTCGTTATTCCGATTTTCCTGTATTCTCCACTCCTTTGACCTCCGCTTGTTTCTCGTTCTTCCGTTTTCTGGCTCCCTTTACTTGGCTTGTCTCTTGACTATTCTTAGTATGCTAAGCCCGGCCACTCTAAGGATCGGTATAGCACCCTTCCTCTCTGTGACCTGTTAGCGGGTTAGGTTCCGGAATTGTGACAACTTGATCTGTAAATAAATTCAACATTTAGTAGTTGTCCACTAATGATCATTGTTTTACATTCTGGACAAAATACACAATTACATTAAGGATAAAAAAGATTAGATATATTGAATATTTTATAGGCATCAAAACAACTGTAGCTTTATTAAACAGTTTTAGTGTATAGATCATGATCCTGCATTCTCACTGCTCAATTATCTGCCATACAGGAGTTAAATCACTTTTGCTTTCATTTATGCAGCCCTAGCCACACCTCCCCAGGCTGTGACTGACACAGTCTGCATGAAAAAAATGGTTAGTTTTCGAGCAGATGTTAACTTGCTTTAGAAGTTTTTTATCTCCTGCTCTGTAAATTTAACTTTAATCAAACACAGGAGGTTCCTGCAGGGTCCTAGAAGGCTAATTACAGATCAAGATATAAGAAATTATAAATTAAACAGACCGTGCAATAATGAAAGCTTAAACATTAGATCTCTATTTACAGGAAGTGTTTATGAATACTGTATAAGTCACAGGCATGGGAGGTGTTGCTAGAGCTGCATAAACAAAGTGATTTACCTCCTATATGGCAGACTTGGAACTGTGATTCTGCAGGAGCATGATCTGCATGTCAAAACCATTCCATTAAACTAAAGTTGTTTTGGTGCAAATAGTGTCCCTTTACAGGAACACTGCAAGAACCATAACCACTACAGAACACTAAATTGACTAATAATCCAAGAGTGCCCTGTTTTGTTTCTGGAGTAATTTAAATGTGTTTGAGCTACTAAAAGGCCCCAATATGCATGTGGAAACCAGTTGGTATTTTGCATTTTTCAGCATTTTTTATAAAAATGAAAATATGTATAAATGTATATGTCTCATCCAATTAAAGTCCTCCTATCCTTTAAAACAAGCATGTCAAACTTGCAGCCAATGAATATGTTTGCTGCCCACCTGCCCTGGGCCACTTTGTGCTGTGGCTGCGATCAGCCACAAGACAGGAAAGATAATTCCTGTGTAGTGTGTTAAATTGGGGAGGAAGTTCAGTGTATTAATTTGGGTGAGGGAGGAGGCAGTGTATTCATTTGAGGGAGGGGGCCACTATTAATTGGGGAAGGGGAGTCTATTAGAGTGGTGGGGGGGGCAGTGCATAAATTTGATGGAGGGGGCAATGTATTTATTTGGTGGCAGAAGGGGAACAGTGTATTAAATTGGAGGAGGGAGTGGGGCAGTGTATTAGTGGTGGAAGGGGGCACAAATTGGGGGGAGGACAGTGTATTAATTTGGGGAGTGAGGGGGACAGAGTATTACATTTAGGGAGGGAGGGGGCACTGTATTAATATTGGGGGATGGTGGGGGGCAGTTTATTAAAATGGGGGTGGGATTTGGGCAGTGTATTGGAGTGGTGGGACAGTGGGGGGGCAGTGTATTAAATTGGAGAAAGGAGGAGGCAGTGTATTAGAGTGGTGATGGGGCAGTGTATTAGAGTGGTGGTAGTTGGCAATGTGTTAATTTGGGGGAGGGCAGTGTATTAAGTTGGGTATGAAGGAGGGCAGTACATTAAATTGGGGGAGGGAGGGCAGTGTATTCAATTAGAGTGGAGGGAGGAGGGTATTGAATTTGGGGACAATGTATTGGATTTGTGGGCAATGTATTAAACTGGGTTTGCATGGAGGCGCTGAACGCTCCCCATGGAGATGCTGTTTGGCCACACAGCTTTTTGCCACACATGCACAATAGCCTCCCCATGCTTTCCTATGGGAAAAATTCATGATCTCAGCCAAGTGAAGAACACACTCATAGGACTTCAAAATCAACAAGATAACGTAATTTGTTTTTTTACAGCTGTGCAATAGCATACATTCACCATTTCAGTCCCATTACCAATTTTTTTTTTTAACTTGTCAAGGTAGTTGGACTGAAACATTAGTTATATACAAATGCATGTCTCCTTAAAATAAAATTTTCTCTTTGAAGCGTGAGGATGTCCAGGCAACTTGTTTTATACTGTACTTTTCGAAATTATTATTATTATTATTACATAGTTACATACAGTTAGATAGTTGCATAGCTGAAAAGAGACTTGCGTCCATCAAGTTCAGCCTACCTCACATTTGTTTTTTGCTGTTGATCCAAAAGAAGGCAAAAAAACCCAGTTTGAAGAACAATTTTGCAACAAACTAGGAAAAAAATTCCTTCTTGACCCCAGAATGGCAGTCAGATTTATCCTTGGATCAAGCAGTTATTACCCTACATTGAAAGATTATATCCTTGAATATTCTGTTTTTGCAAGTATGCATCTAGTAGCTGTTTGAACATCTGTATGGACTCTGATAAAACCCCTTCTTCAGGCAGAGAATTCCACATCCTGATTGTTCTTACAGTAAGAAAACCTTTCCTTTCTTATGTTATTATTTATATAGCACCAACAAATTCTGGAGCGCTTTACAGTGGGTGGACGAACAGACATGTAGTTGTAACCAGACAAGTTGGACACACAGGAGCAGAGGGGTTGAGGGCCCTGC